AAAGTTTCTTCCTCTTGCTTCCTTTAATTTTTCCAATATTTCCCCTAATTTTTGTCCCACATAAATTTTCCAATCATAAAAATTCTACTTTGTGCTAATTGTCACATCAATCAGCAATTTTCTGCATACATCGGAATTATAATGTTTGGCAGTTTTGGGCGTAGAACGTGTTTCCGTAAAATATAAAACTTTCGTGGGCAATCTTCTGTACACTGGCGGTGCCGTTGTACTCCTCTCTTGCAATTTGGATTACATATTATATTCATAAAATTAACTAATATATAAAGAATATGAAATAATATTAATGTGGTAAATATATTTAATTTGAATGCGAATGAAATAAATACATACTGTACGTATGTTTACTGTACAGTGATCGTTGTATAGTGTATTGATCAAAGATCACAATACAATAATGTTGTAAGTGTATGAGCTATTCAACCGTGGTCTCTCACATTGCACAGCTGTGTTCTCTCACAGCCTACTAAATAAATAATTTACTTCCGCGACACTAACAAATGACATTGTTAGTCTTTCGATACAGTTAACAGATCGATTTAGCTAATTTACAAAGGCTGGGGTTGTTGTATCTCTTTCTATGTGGATATTTCTCCCCTGACAGTAGTTTCAAAATCAGTCAAACCTTTTCGACATGAATAATTGCGATATGTTATTTAATACAAATTAAAACCCTACAGTTATGGAATTTAGGTTGAAAACTGTGACGCTGCTATAAGAACATTTTTGTGCAAAAATAAATTTTTTTTATATGATTTTTAAATTTTACCAGGCCTGCATTAATAACTATTTAAGTTAATAGAATACCTGAGGTGTTTAATAACTAGAAATAGGTTAGTTATAATCAGCCAGTGTCCGGTAAAAATCATTACTGAACATTTTATTCCTAGGACGCTAGGCACGAGCCCGGGATTGTTGTTCACATTACTTCAGGCTAGACCTAGGGGTTGGGTCATTATCACTTAGATAGAATCCATTGGTAGTTTGGCGGGATTTGAACCCGGGACCTTAGGGACAGAAGTCCCGCGCTCTAACCACTACACCAGCTTGGTCCTATTACTGAACAGTAGTACGAAATCAAATCCCAATTGATTAAACAGTTGTTTTCTGGACTAATTCCTTGCGTAAAAAGTTTCTAAAACATAGCAGTTTGATAAAAACTAGAAAAAATATGAGAATAAATTGCATTGTAATTTTTTAGCTCAAGACAGAACAACAGATTTAAGACTAAAACACTTCTCGATAAACACTTCTGGGGGCGCTTGAGGCAGAAACGTTTAGTAGATAATGAAATGTCGTGTTTCTGTCTAGGGAGGCATTTAACATTTCATCCGCATTAAAAGATATAATTCACAGAACACGTAACATTTCTTTTACAGCTATAATTCGTTGCTGTAAAAAACCATTAAAAAAAGATCAATATATTTAATAAACATTTTTATGCACAGTAATCATTGATACTGAAAGATATTATTAATATACAAGTAAATAGCCATGGAGTCAAGTTTTTTAGTCAATAATACTAAAATATTTTAAAATGTAAAAAAAAAAATAAAAATAAAATAATAAGTAAATATGCGATTATAAATATTTAAAAGGGTAATAAAAAAACTGAACAAATATACGTAACTCCATCCAACATATGAAAAAAAAACACTTTATTTGGTACAAACGTCAGTAAAACAATATGATATTTATTTTAGTACTAATCTAGTTAAATAAAATAAAAAAAATCTAAATGATACACACTCAATTTTGGTATATACCTGTGTCTAAGGAATGTCGGCCTTAGTCAACAAGACTACTAGATCGCGCCACTCATCCTACACTCATCTCCATTCATACTTGGCTTAAAATACCTACTATGTATGGTTGCCATTTCATTGAACAGTATTAACATTATTATTATGATTATAGTACTCATTTTGATTTAGTACTGAAAATGTTACTGTTAGAAAATAGCAAGATAAATATGTACTGTAGACAATTGTTTTGTTATTAGGTGATATTTTATTATTCTTAAAGGTTAAATAATTTTCTGTATAATAATCGTTTTTTTCTTTCATTTTTCTTGTTATAGAATGTTAGACGTTATATATACTGAGTATCATGTAAGTTTTACTAAAAGAATCGTTGCTAAACTTAAATTTAGATTTTGTTATCACTATCAAGTGTTTTATTACTAAGTAAAATAACTAGCTTCGTAATTAACGCTTTAATTTAGCTCCATTTACAGTCTCAACTGTATTTATTGTTGTATTGAATTTTACAATGTTTTACAACGTTAGTTATGAAGTCAGAGCTGATAAATAATATTTTTGAAAAATTTTGTGGCGTCGGTAGTTGTATTTAAAAATGCACAGTTATTTTGCTATTAAATTATTGAATATGTAATACCTATATATATCAAATATTTTATTATATATATAAATATTTAACATAATATATGCTGTATGTGAGAATGCAATTTAGTTAGACTTGTAAATGCTGTAAATGAAACTCTCACGTACTTTGCAGAGATTAAAAGATTTTATCATCAATATATAAGATTGAGAAGTCAATCTAATAATAATAATATAATATTGTAATGATATAATCTAATAATAATCTTTAATATATTTAATGCCGATGAAATAACACAATTTTCCAGCGATTTTATTATTATTAACCAAAATTATATAATGCCTATACCTTTTGTAGTTATGAATTAATTATGAGACATAATATAACAAAATGTTATTTTAAATCGATTGTATGTACATTTCATGAAAGTAATTTAATTTAGATGTCGTTAAGTTAGTTGATGTATTCATATTTCCCATCGAAATCGTTCTATTCAGCATATTTTATACTCAATCACAATGGTGCATTGATCAATGATCACCATACAATAGTACAGAAATATATTATTTGTCCCTTAATCAAATACGTTGTATTACATATTGAAGAAAAACAATCATTCAATCTATACAATGATAAAGCATGTGTCTCTAAATCTCATAGTTGTATGGTGTATTGTTCAAATACCGCAATACAATACTATAGTTCAATTTGTTTGTATAGTTCACTATACTATACTATACTATAACAACTATACTAGCAATAGTACAATAATGTTGTAAGTGTATGAGCTATTCAGCCGTGGTCTCTCACATTGCACAGCTGTGTTCTCTCACAGCCTACTAAATAAATAATTTACTTCCGTGACTAACAAATTACATTGTTTATAATTTGATCAATGACTATTAGATTAGAAGTATGCATCCTATATGTGCCAGCTGTAACCAATGGAGTAAGATAAGACGTAATTTTGAGACTTTGGTCATTAAAAAATATAATACAAATCAAAATAGAAAAAAAACTTACAAATGTAATTTATGTTATTTTTGTGTAGCTTCAATTGACTGAGACTATCTGTTTCTTTATAATTTACTAAAAACTAATGATCAAGTATAGGCTAGCTGGAACTAGTTACGGACCTTCAAATAGCACCTGACCAAAAAGTTATCGAACAGGTTAACGTTTGATGTTAGGTGAGTACTTTAATTTTTCAGATTTATATTCACCACCTGTATAATTTTTTTTAAATAAAGCATGTTTAAATAAGCCGATTACAGAATACTGCCTCCGAATTATTTTTTTTTTAAGTTTCTATGTACGATTAATATTTCTAAACATAAAAGTTGTTTATGGTAAGTTCTCATTTCGATTTGACTTTGTTAAAAAGTTGGCAAATTTGACAGAAATAAGTAATTTACATCAGCTCACTATTTACATCATAAATAATTTTTTTATCATAAAACTAACTACAGAATTAACATCGGATGTCTACTATTATCACTAATTAAACATTCAATCTATTTAATCATCAATATCTGTTTTCACGAAGGCTAAGATTGTTGTGAGCTTTCTGCCTGTTTAGATTCTACAAGTCTACAGTATTTATGAATTTTGATAATCAAAAAAATATATACTAAATAAAAATACCCCCGCCGCAGCAAACCTGCAGAATAACTGAATTTTTATTTGCCTGATTAGATTTACTCTAAAACATCTCCTTAAAAATATCACATTTATTCCCTATTTAAATAGCATTGGTTTAACGAGTACTTAGGTTTGCTGCAACAGGAAGGACAAAAAAGTGTTTTGCTTGTGTGTGAAATGTTAATAGTTTAGTTGAAAATAAATACATTTTCCAAAATTGATCATACTACTTTCATAAACAAGCAAATTGTACAACAGTTTACTTATTCTCTATAAGAATAACATTGACATTAATTATTTAAAATATTTTGGGAATTTATCCGTAATCATTAGGCGCATAATAAAGCTTTAATACAGTAAATTATTTGTTTTTTAAACTCTACAAAATGGTTTGGAAATAAATTGCAAAATATTATGTTTTTAGGGTCAAAAATGGGAATAACTAATTTTCACCCCATAAAACCCCCATAAACCCCATAGTCTGATCATGCTAGTTCGCGAACTCGTTCGAATAAATGTAGGTTTATACG